GATCCACCCACCTCGGCCTCCCACAGTGCTGGGATTACAGGCTTGAGTCACCACACCCGGCCAGGTGGCTGGTATTTTAAGGTCAGTATTCTTACTGAATAATGAATGGATGATTGCAGGTTAGAGTGGAGACAGGGATTCCCCCAGGAAGGTTCTAGCTCATCAGGAGCCCAAATGTAAGGTTCGAGGGGAGAGTTGATGATGGCTTGGACCTGAATTCTGGCTTTAAGGGTAGAGGTGAGGGGGCAGATTGCAGAGAGAGTTAAGAGCTAGACCTGGCAGGAAGGGGTGACTGAGTGGCCATGGGGACTGACTGAGACATCCAGGATGACTCCTAGTATCTGTCTTGAACATCTGGGTGCATAGGTGTAGGGGCTGTCATGGAGAAGTTGAGACTAGGGAGAGTCAGGCTGAAAGTGGTGAATTTGATTTGGGAACCTCAAACCCATTGTGCACTGTGATGGTGCACTCAGCATCTGGGGAGGCAGCAAATGGCAGTTGGATACAGAGGCCTGGTGCTCAGAAGAGTGGCTTGGGTGAAGGAGAGATAAGGAAGTTGGCAACAATTATATGGCATTGAGCTGCAGGAGCTGTGCACAGCCCAACAGCAGGGAGGATATGGCCCATTCAGGGATTGGGGAGAAAAGGGGCCTCTGTGGGAAAGTAAGATGTGCAGCCAGAAAAGTAGGTAGAAAATCAGCATATTGCCTCTTGAAATTCAGGGGAAGAAAGGGCTTAAAGAAGAGGAGGGGAGCCACAGAGTCCAAAGATTTACTGAGATCAAGCAGGACAAGGATGAAACATGGGCACTGGGTTCAGCAACAGGGAGGTCACTGTGACCTTGTCCAGACTAGTCAGGGGAGTGGTGGGTATAGAAAGAAGCTGGACCAGGATGGGAAGAGGAGTAGGTGGGTATGGTGAGAAAATGCAGGTAGACATCTCTTCAAGACACTTGGCTTTGAAAGGAGAGGAGAGAGAGATGGGGTGAGGAATGGGGTAACTGGAGAAAGACATGAGGCCAACAGGGGAGTCATGGAGTTTTGTTCTTGTTGCCCAGGCTGGAGTGCCATGGCACAGTCTCGCCTCACTACAACCTCCACCTCCTGGGTTCAAGCGATTCTCCTGTCTCAGTCTCCTGAGTAGTTGGGATTACAGCCATGTGCCACCACTCCCAGCTAATTTTTTTTTTTTTTTTTTTTTTTAAGTAGAGACAGGATTTCACCAAGTTGATCAGGCTGTTCTCAAACTCCTGACTGCAGGTAATCCACCAGCCTCAGCCTCCCAAAGTGCTAGGATTATAGCCATGAGCTGCTGCACCAGGCTGAGTCACTTCTTTTTTGTAATTAAAAAAATTTTTTTTAGGAAGAATCTCGCTTTGTCACCCAGGCTCCAGGCTGGAGTGCAGTGGCAAGATCTCAGCTCACTGCAGCCTCCGCCTCCTGGGTTCAGCGATTCTCATGCCTCAGCCTCCTGAGCAGCTGGGACTACAGGTCATGCTACCACGCCACCACTCTATTTTGTATTTTTAATAGAGTCAGGATTTCACCATATTAGCCAGGCTAGTCTCAAATTCCTGGCCTCAAGTGATCCACCCTCCTCAGCCTCCCAAAGTGCTGGGATTACAGGTGTGAGCCACTGTGCCAGCCCAACATTTTGTAATTACTTATTTTGTCTGTCTATTATATTTCACATTGAAATATAATAGACAGACAAAAGGTGTGTATGTCCTAAGTGTACAACTCTATACATTTTCATAAGAGAACACACCCATATATGATCAGGAAATTTAACCCAGAGCAGGAAATCAGACATTACCAGCACCCTGGAAGACCCCTTGTGGCCTCCTCAGTCACAACACCTGGAGGGAGACTCCCAGGCTGACCTCTATCACCATAGATTAGTTTTGCCTGCTTTTGAACTTCATTATCAAGGGGATCATACATTTGTCCTCTGTGGCTTGCTTTCAGATTCACCCATGTTGTTACATATCGCTGTATATTTTTCATTCTTTTTGCTGTGTGATAATTCCATTATTCATTGACAAGCATCTGGACAGTTTCCAGGGTTGCTTTCATTTTTCATTTTTCATTTTTCTTTTTTTTCTTTTTTTGATACAGAGTCCCGCTCTGTCACCCAGGCTGCAGTGCAGTGGCACGATATTGGCTTACTGCAGCCTCTGCCTCCTGGGTTCAAGCGATTCTCCTGCTTCAGCCTCCCAAGTAGCTGGGACTACAGGTGGGCACCACCATGCCCAGCTAATGTTTGTTTGAGACAGAGTCTTGCTCTGTTGCCCAGGCTGGAGTGCAGTGGTGCAATCTCCACTGACTGCAACCTCCACCTCCTGGGTTCAAGCCATTTTTGTGCCTCAGCCTCCGTGGTAGCTGAGATTGCAGGTGCCTGCCACCACACCCAGCTAATTTTTGTTCTTTTGTTTTTGAGATGGAGTTTCACTCTTGTTGCCCAGGCTGGAGTGCAATGGCGAGATCTCAGCTCACTGCAACCTCTGCCTCCTGGATTCAAGCAATTCTCCTGCCTCAGCCTCCCGAGTAGCTTGGGCTACAGGGCAGCGCCACCATGCCCAGCTAATTTTTATATTTTTAGTAGAGACGGGGTTTCACCATGTTGACCAGGATGGTCTCAATCTCTTGACCTCATGATCCGCCCACCTCAGCCTCCCAAAGTGCTGGGATTACAGGCATGAGTCATTGCACCCAACCAATTTTGGTATTTTTAGTAAAGACAGGGTTTCGCCATGTTGGTCAGGCTGGTTTCAAACTCCTGACCTCAGGTGATCCACCTGCCTCAGCCTCCCAAAGTGCTGGGATTACAGGCATGAGCCACTGCACCTGGCCTAATGTCTGTATTTCTAGTAGAGACAGGGTTTCACCATGTTGGTCAGGCCAGTCTCAAACTCCTGACCACATGCCCGCCTCCACCTCCGAAAGTGCTGGGATTACAGGCATGAGCCACTGTGCCCAGCCTGTTTTTATCTTTCATGTGGGAGTGACTTGAGCTTGCCTGAGACTTGTGGAGAAAGACTGAGACACCCCGAAAGGAGAAAGATGACTAGCGTCACAGTCGAGTATTTGCTGGGCAGGCAGTGAGGGGCCTGGCCAAGGTTGAGGATTGCTCTGTGATTCTAGCCAGGCTGCTGTGCCAAGACCTATGGCAACTCCTGCCAGCCTGTGTGCAGGTGTAGAGAAGACTGGGAGTTGGGTTCCCCAGGGCTGGTTTCTGCCAGAAGGGAGAGAGGTGTGCAGTGCTGAGGATACTCACAGCAGGCAAGTGATGGGATGGTGGCTGTCGATTCAGGCTGGGGAGGAGGCTATGCAGGGAAGGTAGGGAAGAGAAGGTAGGAGGGAGCTGGCAGAAAAAAAGAAAGCAGAGGCAGACTGTGAGCTCTGCACAGGGTGATGTCTGTGAAATTCTGGGCTGTATCTCCAGTGACTGGCACATGCTTGGCACAGAGTTGTCACTCAGTGAATAGTTGAATAAATGAGTGAGGACTCAAGGGACCAGAGATCCCAGGTAAAAGGCAGGTGAGGTGGGGGTGATGGAAAGCCTGAGGGTTGCATCAATGTGGTTGTGGTTTAGGAAAGGGGCATTATAAAGCTGGGTGATAAGGCTGGGGATGGCTGAAGGGAGCAGAGAGGTCAGTGTTAGACAGGTAATCCATGGGAATGCACAGGTTACCAGTGTAGGGTGCAGGGTACCCAGGCTTCAAGGAGGAGGGGAGAATAACATTTCTCAAACTGAGGTCCCTGGACCTCTTGCATCTGAATCTGTCGGGGGAGGGGGAGCTTGTGGAAATGCAGACCCCTGGGCCCACCTCAGTCTCTTGGGAAGAAAGTAAGCACAGTATGGGAGAACTGAGCCTTAAGGAACAAGAGTATTTGAGATGGGGGGGCATCCAGCCCCTACAAGGTCAGGAGAGGGATTGGCATGGTGGCATCTATTCAGGCTAGAGGTGGACATGGGATATTCAAAGAAGAGATTGGCCAGGCATGGTGGCTCATGCCTGTAATCCCATCACTTTGGGAGAATGAGGTGGGCGGATCACCTGAAGTCATGAGTTTGAGACCAGCCGGGGCAACATGCTGAAACCCCATCTCTACTAAAAATACAAACAGTCGCTGGGCATGGTCGTGGGTGCCTGTAATACCAGCTACTTGGGAGCCTGAGGCAGGAGAATTGCTTGAACCTGAGAGGCGGAGGTTGCAGTGAGCTGAGATCATGCCACTGCACTCCTGCCTGGGCAACAAAAGAAAAAAAGAGAGAGAGAGAGAGAATAGTGGGGATGGTGATGGGGATAGGAACAAGTTGGTACCATGGAAATGCAGAACCTGAGAGGCCCATGTGAACTGGGGGCAGGAAGGATGGGGCATTAGTCTAAGATGCAACTTGGCTAGGGATGAGGCCCCGGCTGGCAGCCAGACCCCATCCTTTCCCCTGGGTCCTGGGAGGAGGGGTGTGCCCAGACTGAGCACTCTGTAGTAGGAGTGGGTGGTGCATGGGGCTGTGGGACTCTGCACCCAGTTCCTTCTCTGCATCCCTCTTGGCTCAGCAGCACACCCTATTATGAGGTTGATCTAGTCCCACATTTTCAGCCTCTCTTCTCAGCCCCGGAGTCCCCTGGTGATCAGTTCCCTAACTCTCTGCCCTCCATCTGCACAGCCCCTCCAAACAGCACCCTGAGCCCCATCCTTCCACTCTTCAGTCCCCTACTATCCACCATTGAACACTTAGAACCCCAGCTCTCAGCCCTCTTTGTGTTTGGCCTTAGCACTGCTCAACAGCCACTATTGTGTGTGTGTTGGGGCTGGGGGTGTCGGGCAGAGTATTGCTCTGTCTCCCAGGCTGGAATGCAGTGGAGCCGCCTCCTGGGTTCAAGCGATTCTCCTGCCTCAGCCTCCTGAGTAGCTGGGATTACAGGCATGCGTCACCGCCTGGCTAATTTTTGTATTTTTAGTAGAGACGAGGGTTTTACCCTGTTGGTCAGGCTGGTCTCAAACTCCTGACTTCGTGATTCGCCCCCCTGGGCCTCCCAAAGTGCTGGGATTATAGGCGTGAGTCGCCACGCCCGGCCTCCACAGCCACTCTTTAAGCCCCGTCCCTGATGCATCCTCCACTCAGCGCCCTCATTCTATCTTTCCATATTCATCCCCACGTTCAAATCCCTTAATGCACATTATTGACCCCAGCCGAGAAGACCCTTCATCCCCCGTCTGTCCCCTCCCTGAGGGGAACCCCAGTCACCCGTCCCGCCCCGTACAGGCGGGCTGAGTCAGGCGGCAGGAACTGGGCGGGGGGCGGCGCCGGGAGGAGCCAAAGCTGAGCCAGAGCCGCTGGGAGCGAGCTGGGAGCTCAGCCGGGCGGCTCTAAGTGGCCAGGGTCGGAGGTGCTGCGGGGGGTGAGCACAGGTCGGGTGCCGTCCCGGACCCACCATGAACACCAAGAAGAGAGGTAATACCCGGCTCGGGGCTTCGAAAGCTCAGGGGCTGGTCCCAGGGGGCGCAAGCTGGGTTCGGGGGCCAGGAGTGCCTTTGTCGCCAAAGCGGCGTGGGGGTCTGCCCAGGAGCTCTCCCGCCGAGGCCAGAGGTCAAGGCGCATGTCCGTGACTCAGTTTCCAGGTGGGAGCTGCAGGAAAGAGGAGGGGGCGGAGCCCTGCTCGGCATCGCGCCCCACTCTGGGAATCCCCCTGCCAGGAGGGCGCCGAAACGGCGGAGCCCTCTGTGGGGGCTGGGGGGAGCAGGTCACGCTGGCTGGCACAGGACTGGCAACAAACCCGCGCCTGGCCGGGCCTGTCGAGCAGCTCCGTAGGGCTCCGAGCGCGCGCCCCGCCCCGCCCCGTGACCTCCTCGGCCTCCCGGGGTGGGGGCGCCAGACCTTCCTATGCCCTGAGGGGGCTTCGGGGGCTGGGCTGGGAGGCTGTCCCGCCCCCGGGTAAACAGGCGCTTCCGCACATTCTTCGCGTGCGCCGCCCCTTTCCTGCCCCTTCCCAGCCAGTGGAGGGTCCCCGAGAGACCCCCCCTTCCTGCCCCGCGGCAGGCGGAGCCGGCACGGGCACCTCGGCAGGAAGTGGGGGCCGAGCCGAGGCCACGCTGAGTCCCAGGCCGAGTCGCCTTCGCCTGGTCTGTCATTAGCGCCCAGGCCCGCAGGACTAGGAGGACCCGGCCGGAGCCCGCTGGGGCAGCTGTGCTGGTGGTAGGGAGGACCTGCGCCAGCCCTGGAATCGAGCCGCGGGGAGGTGGCTTCAGGGGTCCGACCGATACTGGACACCTCCGCTTCACTCCCGCAGGGAGCCCCGCGCGGACTCACTCCATGATGTCCCTGTCCGTGCGGCCTCAGCGTCGCCTGCTCAGTGCCCGGGTCAATAGGAGCCAGTCCTTCGCAGGCGTCCTCGGCAGCCACGAGCGGGGGCCCAGGTACGAGGCCGCATGGGGTTGGTGGGGTCAAAGGGCGTTGGATGGGGCTGAGAGTGGCTGCTAGTGAGGGTCTGGGGGACTCCTGTTCTCCCCTGTCTGAGGACAACCTCTCCTTTAGGAGCTTCCTGGTCTTCAGCCCGCCGGGGCCCCCACGGAAGCCCCCCGCCCTCTCCCGAGTATCCAGGATGTTTTCCGTGGCTCACCCAGCCCCCAAGGTGCCACAGCCCGAGCGGCTGGACCTGGTGTACACGGCGCTGAAGCGGGGTCTGACGTGAGCAGCTCCTCCCTCCCCAGCCCTGTCCCGGGATCCCTCCCCAAGCCCGCATCCTGCTAGCAGGAAACTTCTCCAGCCCCATGCCCTCTCCCTGCCGCCTGCACCCTGGGCAGGTTGAGGCTGAAGAGCCGAGTGCATTCTTCTTTCCTCAGGGCCTACTTGGAAGTGCACCAGCAGGAGCAGGAGAAACTCCAGGGGCAGATAAGGGAGTCCAAGAGGAATTCCCGCCTGGTGAGTGGTGGGAGGTAGGGATGCTCTTTGCCTCTGTTGTGGAGGGCTTGGCTGGGCCAGCCCTGGGTGATATCTGGGCTACTTTCTGGGGTGACTTGGTTCAGGTGTGAGTAGAAAAGGGGATATCAGGAAAGGCTGAGGGGTTTTCTATCCCCAAACTTTTCTGTGCACACTTTCTGCTTGGGACTCAGTACCTGCCCCAGGAGCTTCCAGTGGGATAGGTGGGACCCCCACAGACATGAATAGCAGGGGATTCTGCTGCAGTGGTACTGAGGAGAGCCATGGTACTTCTTGGAAAGAGGTTAGGGCTTCCTAGAGGAGAGAACACTTCTGCCGGTCTTAAAGCATGAATGGGAGTTCCCCTGCAGAGGAAACCTTGCACGAAGAGGCACAGAGCTCTGATGCAGCTGCCTGCCAGAAAAGAAATCCCAGGGAAGAGGTGGGGGAGGGGATATGGAGGGGCTTGAAGGGACCAGATCTGTGCTACCAGTATCTACCAAGGGCTAGGCCAGCAGGAAGCGGGGGCAGTTGCTACTGCAATGGGAGTGCTTGCAGACTGTGGTGTGAGAGAGGGGAGCTGTGATGAGTCTGAGTCCACCCCTGCTGGAGTCCTCATCCCTCCTAAATGCCCCTTTCTCCCCACCCCCTGCAGGGCTTCCTATATGATCTGGACAAGGTGAGTGTGTATGAAATGGTACTGGAAGGGGTTGGCTCATGAGGAGGCTAAGGGCCCTGGGCTTCAGGCCCCTCCTGACCCACCTCTCCCTCAGCAAGTCAAGTCCATTGAACGCTTCCTGCGACGACTGGAGTTCCATGCCAGCAAGGTAGGAGTACAGCATATGTGTGGACTGGGATGCGGAATTGGATCTCATAGGAAGAGGGGCAGTGCCAGGCCCTGGGTGAGCAACCCCAGAGGTGAGTCTCAGTCCCCCTACCGCCACCCCACTCACCTTCCCAGATCGACGAGCTGTATGAGGCATACTGTGTCCAGCGGCGTCTGCGGGATGGTGCCTACAACATGGTCCGTGCTTATACTACTGGGTCCCCTGGGAGCCGAGAGGCCCGGGACAGCCTGGCAGAGGCCACTCGGGGGCATCGAGAGTACACGGAGGTGAGGGATAGGTGCCCATGAGGCAGAGGCACAGGGTGTGGCAGGGCTAGTGGCTGGCTCTTGACCCCCTCCTGTCCCTGCCTCTCCCTCCCAGAGCATGTGTCTGCTGGAGAGCGAGCTGGAGGCACAGCTGGGCGAGTTTCATCTCCGAATGAAAGGTACTTAGTTGTAGGGGCAGATGGGGGGCCAGATGGAGTATGCTGAAGACCCCCAATGTGGCTCACCAACTTCTCCCCTTCTCCCCCAACTTCCAGGGCTGGCTGGCTTCGCCAGGCTGTGTGTGGGTGATCAGTATGAGGTATGAGAATGTGCAGGGGGGCTGGGTCGGCAGGATCCCAATGCCTAGGGCTGGCTCATCCCGCCTGTTTTCCCAGATCTGCATGAAATATGGGCGTCAGCGCTGGAAACTACGGGGCCGAATTGAGGGTAGTGGAAAGCAGGTGTGGGACAGTGAAGAAACCATCTTTCTTCCTCTGCTCACGGAATTCCTGTCTATCAAGGTGATGTCTCTGCCTGGGAGTACAGGACACCATGGTCCTGTAAACCCCTTGTGACGCCTGTTATCCTGAGTCTCTTACTTCTGTGACCCCCTCATGGCTCCATGGCCCTGTGAATATATGATCTCATGATCTTCATGACCCTTTGGTTTTTTTTATAATCTTTGTGGCCATGATGTCCTAAGCGTCAAAAACAATCTTTTTGACGCTTAGGACATCATGGCCTCCTGACCCTGTGACCTTCTCATGATCTTCTGACCCTGTGGATATTTGACCCCCCCCAAGCTCCCATGGGACTGTGACCCCAATGACCTCAGTGACCCTACCATGCAGACTTTCAGTGATTCCCATGCTCCCAGGCTGCTTCAAGCATCCATGACCCCATGAGCATTCATTCATTTAATTACGAGACAGGGGTCTCACTCTGTCACCCAGGCTGGAGTGCAGCAGTACAATCATAGCTCACTGCAGCCTCAAACTCCTGGCTCAAACCATCCTCCCACCTCAGCCTCCCAAGTAGCTAGGACTACACATGTACCACAATGCCTGGCTAATTTTTTTTTTTTTTGAGACAGAGTCTTGCTATGTTGCCCAGGCTGGTCTTGAACTCCTGACCATGATCCTCCTGTCTCAGCCTCCCATGACCATTTTATAAGCTGTATGAAAATTCAGACCTCAGATTGCCCACAATCTCATGGCCCCTAGCCCCTTGTGACCCCATCATCCACTCTTGGCTACAGGTAACAGAACTGAAGGGCCTGGCCAACCATGTGGTTGTGGGCAGTGTCTCCTGTGAGACCAAGGACCTGTTCGCTGCCCTGCCCCAGGTTGTGGCTGTGGATATCAATGACCTCGGCACCATCAAGCTCAGCCTGGAAGTCACATGGAGGTTGGTGGGGCTGAGGGGCTTGGGGGAGGGCCAGGAGGGCTGTAGCACCTTCCAACAGCCTCTTCCCTTCCCAGCCCCTTCGACAAGGATGACCAGCCCTCAGCTGCTGCTTCTGTCAACAAGGCTTCCACAGTCACCAAGCGTTTCTCCACCTATAGCCAGAGCCCACCAGACACACCCTCGCTTCGGGAACAGGCCTTCTATGTGAGTCACAGCCCGAGTCCAGGCCTGACTGTCCTCCAGAGGCTCCGTGGGGGTGGTTCTGAAATGCCCTCTCTTTCTCAGAACATGCTGCGACGGCAGGAGGAGCTGGAGAATGGGACAGCATGGTCTCTGTCTTCCGAATCTTCAGATGACTCATCCAGCCCACAGCTCTCAGGCACTGCCCGCCACTCGTCAGCCCCTAGGCCCCTGGTGCAGCAGCCCGAGCCCCTTCCTATCCAAGTTGCCTTCCGTAGGCCTGAGATCCCTAGCTCTGGGTGCTTGGATGAGGAGGGGGCTGTGGCCCCAATCCTGGCAAATGGGCATGTGCCCTACAGTCGGACTCTGAGCCACATCAGTGAGGCTAGTGTAGACGCTGCCTTGGCTGAGGCTTCAATGGAGGCTGTGGGCCCAGAAAGTCTAGCCCAGGGACCTAGCCTACCTCTACACCCAGATCCCACCCATGGGGAGCACCCCAATCCTGATCCTCCTGCCCTGGACCCTGGCCACTCTGCCACAAGTTCTACCCCTGGTACAACAGGCTCTGTCCCCATATCCACAGACCCTGCCCCATCTGCACACCTAGACTCAGTTCATAAGGCCACAGACTCTGGCCCTTCAGAACTGCCAGGGCCCACTCATACCACTACAGGCTCTACCTATAGTGCCGTTACCCCAACTCACAGTGCTCCAAGCACCCCTGCTCACACTACTACAGGCTCCACCCACAAGCCCATAATCTCTACCCTTACTGCTACAGGCCCTACCCTCAATATCACAGGCCCAGTCCAGACTACCACAAGCCCCGCCCAGACTACCACAAGCCCCGCCCACAGCACAGCAAGCCCCCCTCATCCTTCCACAAGCCCCACTCACACTTCCACAGGCCCCACCCATGCCACAAGTCCCATCTACACCACAAGTCCCACCCACAAAACCAGAAAGTCAACTCCCACCACTACAAGTTGTACCCCCAGTGCTATCGCCCAGGTCCAGACTGCCACAAGCCCCACCCATCCCACCACAAGCCCCACCCCTATAAATGTAAGTCCTTCTTCTCTAGAACTTGCTACCCTCCCCAGCCCTTCTGTACACTCAGACCCCACCCTCCCAGGCACTGACTCCTTTCCCTGTAGCCTGCCAGCCTCCAGTTCCTGCACTCAGCCAGACCCTATAGCCCTCAGCACCTCCCACACAAGTCCTGCCCATTCCAGTTGGAAACCTCTCACAAGCCCTGCCCCAGATCCCCCAGAGCCAATGGTTCAGAGCCTAAGCCCCACGCCCTCACCCCCAACCCCTGCACCCCAGCATTCAGAACTTAGCGTGGCCATGGTTGTCCAGACCCCAGTCCCAGGGGCAGCTGGAGGGACTGGGAACAGGAGGCTGGAGGAGGCACTGGGGGCCTTAATGGCTGCCCTGGATGACTACCGTGGCCAGTTTCCTGAGCTGCAGGGCCTGGAGCAGGAGGTGACCCGACTAGAGAGTCTGCTCATGGTGAGGAGGGCTGGGCTGGGCTAGGGCAGCCAGGAAGGGCAGCCAGGGGGTGGTAGCTACTCTGACACCCTTCATCACTTTAGCAGAGGCAAGGCCTCACTCGCAGCCGGGCTTCCAGTCTCAGCATCGCTGTGGAGCATGCCTTGGAGAGCTTCAGCTTTCTCAATGAAGACGAAGATGAAGACAATGATGTTCCTGGGGACAGGTGAGGGGGCTAGGCAAGATGGGCATAGGGCTAGGTGAGAGGGAGAAGGTGAGGCAGGACCAGAAGATGGTGGAACAGGTGAGCTGGGAGACAAGTCAAAGGGGAGAACAGCTGAGGCGGGGCCAGGTGGAGCACATGAGGACTGAGTTACTGGCAGCTGCACCTGTGTCCACCCCTTCTGTGTCCTTCATGCCCATGTCTCCAACTCCACATGTGTCCCCACTGCTTGTGACCGCCCTCCTCATCTCTGCAATGTCACCTCCCCTGCCAGTCCCCATCAGCTTGGGAGCCTCCAGCCCCTCCTTTTCCCCTTGGTCTCACCTTGAACCTGCCCTTCGAAGGAGCTCTCTCAGTGCCCCGCCATGCACCCTGGGTCCTCCAGCACTGCCCTACTCCTCAACCTCGACTTTCCCAGAGGCCCTGGCCCCTCAACTGTCAGTTCTGGAGTGGCCTTTGCTGGTTCCTAGTTGAGACTTGTGCCAGATCCCTCTTCCCTCAGCTGTTGCCCAGGCTATGGCCCCATGTCCTGCACCCTTTCCAGTACACTTGTCGTAAACAATCCCACCTGCAACCTACTCCCACCCATGTCAACCCCAGTGGTCCCAGTTGGAGGTAGCATGGGGTAGACTGCAGAGATCCCCACTACCACCTGCTGGTCCCATCCCCTTCCTCCTGGAAATCCTCCATGAACTTACCCCACTGTCTGCTGTCTGTGCATCATCTGTTTTTCCTTTCTGGGATGGGGAAGCTTAATAAAAATAAATGCTGGTGACCAGGTGGTGATGTGTGCTTCTGGGGTGATTGACCCCATTTTTCCCTCAGGCCCCCAAGCAGCACGGAGGCTGGGGCTGAGGACAGCATAGATTCACCCAGTGCCCACCCCCTCAGCACAGGGTGTCCAGCTCTGGACGCTGCCTTGGTCCAGCACCTATACCACTGCAGTCGCCTCCTGCTGGTGAGGCCGGTGGTGTTCCCCCACCCTTCCCTTGTAACCCTTCACCCCAGGGAGTCCTGCCCTTCCATCCTGGTCCTCTATACCTCCTCTTAGTTCCACACCCCAGTGCCCTGGGGCCCTTGGCATTTGGCTCTTGCTGAATGGAGTGTCTCCCACACTCTGCAATCCCAACCTCCCCAATGCATGCTGGGACTTGTCCCTGAGCACCATCCTCCCAAACCTTACCCTGAGGCCTCAGCTACTTAGCCACCCATGTTCTCCAGAAACTGGGCACATTTGGGCCCCTGCGCTGCCAGGAGGCATGGGCCCTGGAGCGGCTGCTGCGGGAAGCCCGAGTGCTGGAGGCCATATGCGAGTTCAGCAGAAGGTGGGAGACCCTGGCCACCTCTGCCCAGGAAGGTAAAGGCTCCTACCTCAGCCTACCACCATCTGCATGCTCTCTACCCACCTGCCTGCTCTATTGCTGACAGTTTCCCACACCCCCTCACAGTGGTGCAGTTCTCAGCCTCTCGGCCTGGCTTTCTGACCTTCTGGGACCAATGCACAGAGGGACTCAGCTGCTTCCTCTGCCCGGTGGAACGGGTGCTTCTCACCTTCTGCAACCAGTATAGTGCCCGCCTCTCCCTGCGCCAGCCAGGCTTGGCTGAGGCTGGTGAGTGGGCTGCCTACCCACCCCTCCTTCCACCCTTGCTCAGATTCCCAGTGACAGGAAGCCCAAGGAAGCCAGGTCAGCCCACACAGATACACAAGCTGGGCACTGAGGAGACCAACAAAGGCTTGTGCCTTAGAGCAAAAAGGACCTAGATGGGTGGGGTTTGAACAGGGGGCCCCTGGACCTGAGCCTTCTCTCCCTCTAAAAGCTTGTGTTCACCCAAACTCTGAGGCCAATGTTACTGCCTCCTACAGTGTGTGTGAAGTTCCTGGAGGATGCCCTGGGGCAGAAGCTGCCCAGAAGGCCCCAGCCAGGACCTGGAGAGCAGCTCACGGTCTTCCAGTTCTGGAGTTTTGTGGAAACCCTGGACAGCCCCTCCATGGAGGCCTACGTGACCGAGACTGCCGAGGAAGGTGAGGTAGTAACCTGATCACAAAGTGGCCTGACTTTCTGGGTCTGAGGACAAGCCCTCCCTACCCTTGGGAGCTCCTCACCCTGCCACCTTGCCCACCCACCCACCATAGCCCCTTTTTTCAGTGTTATTGGTGCGGAATCTGAACTCAGATGACCAGGCTGTTGTGCTGAAGGCCCTGAGATTGGCGCCCGAGGGGCGTCTGCGAAGGGATGGGCTGCGGGCTCTCAGCTCCCTTCTCGTCCATGGCAACAACAAGGTCATGGCTGCTGTCAGCACCCAGCTCCGGAGCCTGTCACTGGGCCCTGCCTTCCGGGAGAGGGTGAGTCGGACAGGGCTCCCTTGAGGGCGATGGCTGGGTTCCCGGGCTCCTGGCGTCTGACTAAGTTTGTCCTCCCGCCCTTCCACAGGCCCTCCTGTGCTTCCTGGACCAGCTGGAAGATGAGGATGTGCAGACTCGAGTGGCTGGCTGCCTGGCCCTGGGCTGCATCAAGGTGACCCCTGCCAAGCCTCTCACCCCTTCATCCCCTCCCAGCACCCTCATCCCTGAGCCCCTTCCATCTGCTTCCCCAGGCCCACCTTAATGCTCCCTCCTCTGACAGGCTCCTGAGGGCATTGAGCCCCTGGTGTACCTCTGCCAGACGGACACAGAAGCTGTGAGGGAAGCTGCCCGGCAGAGCCTGCAGCAGTGTGGTGAGGCTAGGGGATGGAGAGATGGGTGGAGTTCTGGGACATCTTGGCTGATTGGAGTAGGGGAGATGGTGTCAGGTGTGGGAGAACAGGATGGGGCTAGGGACACACCTGATGTCATCCTCACTCATTACAGGAGAAGAGGGACAGTCTGCCCATCGACGGCTGGAGGAGTCCCTGGATGCCCTGCCCCGCATCTTTGGGCCTGGCAGCATGGCCAGCACAGCATTCTAAACTATTCACCCACGGGTTCCTGGCACTCCTTCCCTCAACTTTCAGGGCTCACCAGGCACTGGCAAGGAGGGTAAGGGCTGCCTCCAGATACCCCTCTCCCACAGATTCCTAGCAATGAAAATCTAATATATTCTTCTGTTGCCCCTGGGTTGGAGAGTCGGTGCCTGCAGTCAAGTGCCTCCCAGCCTCGGCTCAGCACATCCCTTGCCATAAATCAGTGTCCGGGGCTTGGCCACCCTGCCTCTGCCCAGCCACATCCCTTGGTTTTGTATTTTATTTACAGAGTTTTACAGAAAATAAAAAAGCAAAATGCCTTTCCTACATGGCCTGGTACACTCCTGACCCTCTGCTCCAATACCCTCTGGCTGTGGCCCTTCCTAACACGGGTGTGTCTACACTGCAGCTGTGACAGTGTCATGTGCACTTGCCCTAGAAATCCAAGTGAAAGAAAGCCCAGAGGCTAGAACTAGGCTTGGAGAAGGGAAAAGCCTCAGCCTGCAGATGGGGCCTACCCTGGGCCTGGGAACTACGGCCCAAGGTGGAGCTGAACTGTGGAGTTGGCCCAGAGAACGCCAAAGAGTGCCAATCCTGGGAAGGGCTGTGGCCTAGGGGCAAAGAAGCAGGAAGGAAAAGGAGGCACAGTGTGGCTGGAGCTTCTGGCCACCAGGGGGCAGCAGATCCGCATCAGCAGATGCCAGGCCTAGGTCTTCGGCAGCCTGGGCAGCTTTCTGCAGAGGGGACTGAAGAAGCTCCTTGAGGCTGGGTAGCAGGGGAGAGGAGCTCCTTGTGGAGGGGAAGAGCTGGGGCCTGGGAGGAAACCTCCGGATGGCTACGCTGTGACCAGGAGACCTCCGGATGGCTACGCTGTGACCAGGAGACCTCCGGATGGCTACGCTGTGACCAGGAGACCTCCGGATGGCTACCCTGTGACCCAAGACAGCAAGTCCCTTCCCTCCCCAGCCATCTCCCTCTCTGTAATAACAAACCTGCCTGAACTCTGTGACCCTTAACAGCTGGCCAACCTGTGTTGCTTCAGGAAGCAGAGATCCTGGAGAGGGCTTGTCTTGCCCTGCCTCGCCTCACCCCATAGCTGCCTGGCTCATGAATGTGTTAACCCCAGAAGGCTGAGTCCTGCGTGAGGAACTAGAGAGTGGGGTGGGACTTCAGGATGGCAGTCCTGTTCTAAAAGGGGCTGAGGGCGGCCCATACCTGTGGCTAGAGAAACAGGCTCTCTACCCTTCCCCTCTTCCCCCAGCACTTCCAGTGTCCAGGGGCAAGGAGACGGTGCACAGGCAGTGCCTCCCAGACTCCTTGAGGCCACTCTGATGTCCCAGTGCCTGTGGCAGCAGCTCGGCCTGTGTGGGATGAGTCACATTGGGGAGCCTGCCCTCAGGAAGAGCCAGTGAGGTGCCAACAGTCCCCTGGAGGATGACCCAGATATCTGGGGAGCCCTGCCCCACAGTGTCTTAGAGCTAGGTATGAAGAGGTTTGGCTGGGGCCTTAACCACCTGCTCGGGAAGCCAAGCTGAGCAGAAAAACGGCAACAGGAAGGAGCACAGGAAACACCTGTGTGTGGATGCAAGCGGCTCATTCCAGACGCTGGGGCAAGGATGGGCAGGGGCAGGCAGGCAGCTCTACACACTGGTATGGCTCTTTGCTCTCCTGCTTACAATGAAGGGTGGCACGGGATGGTGCAGTTCAGTCTTTTGGGTGGTCAGCTGGAGCAGCATGGGGCAGAGGAGGCAAACAAATGATGGAGACTAGCCACAGTTGGGGCCTCTAGCAGTCCCCAAACCACCCCTAGCGGCCCTCAGTCCTGAGGCCCCCAGAAGAGGCCCACTGGTAGAGCTGGGCTGTCCACCTGGATCAAAAGCATAGCCTGTGATGAGGGGAAAGAGGAAGTGAACACTGGCTGACCAGGTCCTGGAAAAGTGCAGATGGGGGTGACTGAGCCAGCATGAGCTCACAGCTCAGTACACAGGAGAGGGCAGGGCTTGAGCAAGAAATGGAAGATGGAAAATGTCATCATCCCAGCTGGGGTTCCACTGGGGTTGTCACTGAGAATCCCTGCTCTCCTATGCTGGGAAGGGACAGACCCCCGACTCTGCTCTGCAGAGTCCTGAGGCCAGAGCCTAGTATTCAGCTCTAGCCAGGGGTGGGTGTGAGGATCGGAAGGAGACAGAAGATGGAATGAGGGCACTGTGAGCACAGCCAGCTGAACACCAGCAAGGCCAGGAGAAAAGGCATAGATCTTCAGGCCTTTGCCCATCATGACTATCTGGTTCAGAGCAGCATGGATCATCCCCAGGACAGCTACTTGACCCCTCTCCATCAGTGGCTTGAAGGCAGGCTTGATGGCCTCCTACACCCAGGCCCGTGCCCAGGTCCCAGAGATGGTGGAGGGCAGGGAGAACCTTTGTCCTCCCACCTCTATATCTCTCCCGATCCCTTCTGCCTCACAGGGGCCTTTGACAGGTTCCCCACCCACTACCCTGCTATCATGTGGGTCAGGGAGGGACGTGTTCCTGCTGTCTGAGACTAAAGACAATTGGGAGTCCTCTACCCCAGGTGATGGGCAGTTGATGATCCCATCACAAATCAAAGTTATCAGTGCAGGGAAAGCCTGTGCCCAGCCTCTGAGGGGACAGATGGAAGGGGGCCTCCAAGGCCTATGACACAGAGAAGTGCCCCATCAGCTAAGTCCATTAAGGCCACAGCCATGTCTTGGCCATCATTTCTGAGGCTCTGCCCAGAGGAAACCAATTGGCACACACTGCAAAACAGGGGACAGGCTGAAGTAGTCCATGATACAATTTATTGTGTTGGCAATCAATGGAGTCTTCCCCCTATTCCCCTCCTTTCCTCTTGCCCTCTCCCAACCTTACCTTTCTTCCTGTCTCCCACTCTTCTTCCTCATGTATTCCAAGCTGCAGAGAACCAAAAAAAGAAGAAAGAAAAAAAAAGGCATATTTGTGAAGGCAAAGTAGCAGATGGGTGGGCATGTGGGAAGAGGACTGCTGCTTTGTCCCGCCCACAGAGCGGGGGTGCCTTCCTTGTATGTTTCTGTGCCTGGTATGTGGGTACAATTTGCTGAACCCCAGACATATGACATGACCCTCCTTTCCCTCCATAGTCCCCTTCCCACCCCAGACACTCCTGGAGTGTCCCCTTCAGGCCATCCGTGTCCCATAGACAGCTCTTGCCTTGGTTGCCTGGGCCTGGGTGATACAGGAGGGTGAATCTGGGAAGGACTCCAGTGCCTCATATAACTGCTGCTAATGAAGCACAATCTATCATTTAGAAAATAAGACTGACATTAGCCTGTGAGAAAGGGGTCTCTTGTTTCAGAAACTTGCAGTTGGGTAATGGCCACTACTCTGAGTTTAATGTCAAAGGTCAAGACTCACTTGCCTCCAGATACACAAAGGGCATATAGACACTCACTGAATGCTGACTGAGAGCAGCTGAATAAGCAGCTGAATTGCTATATGAGACATCTAGGTTTCTAGCTTGTCCTCTTAATCTTACAACCTTCACCTCCTCCTTCTCAGGCATGTCTTAAACATCACCCCACAGGGTTCTGTCCTAGGACCTTTCCTCCTCTCTCAAAACACCCCTAGGTGACCTCCCCATTCCATTGGCTTCCATCCACATGCTGAGGCTGCATGCCAATCCTTCATGTGGTTCTTACCTTGCTTCCAGACCCCTACATCCAACTGCTGACTGGACACTTCCTTTTGAACATCTGGGGCATTTCAAACTCAACAGGCTCAAAACCAGACTCAACATCTTCTCAAAACTTGTTTCTCCCCCAATAGCTCTTGGGGTTACCAACTACCCATATAACCAAGATATATATTTAAGCCTCCTCCTTATTCTTTCCTCTCTCCCCACATCCCAGCCATCAGAATCCTCCCAATTAAATGCCCTAAATACCTCTTTTCTGTTTTTCTTTTTGATAAGAGTCTTGTGCTGTTGCCCAGGCTGGAGTGCAGTGGCACGATCTTGGCTCACTGCAACTTCTGCTTCCTGGGTTCAAGCGATTCTTGTGCCTCAGCCTACGGAGTTGCTGGGATTATAGGCACCTGCCACCATGCCCAGCTAATTTTTTTTTTTTTTTCTGAGATGGAGTCTCGCTCTGTTGCCAGGCTGGAGTGCAGTGCCGGAATCTCTGCTCACTACAATTTCTGCCTCCTGGGTTCAAGCAATTTCCCTGCCTCAGCCTCCCAAGTAGCTGGGACTACAGGTGCATGCCACCACGCTTGGCTAATTTTTGTATTTTCAGTAGAGATGGGGTTTCACCATGTTGGCCAGATGGTTTTGAACTCCTGACCTCATGATCTGCCAATCTCAGCCTCCCAAAGTGCTGGGATTACTGGCATGAGCTACCGAACCTGGCCTAATTTTTGTATTTTTAGTAGATGTGAGCCACCACCTCAAGCCCATACATTTCTTTAGGGAGCTGTACATCCACCTGCTCTTGTCACAGGAGCCTGTGATTTTCCTTCTATAAGACTAATCACACCTCATTGCAACTGCTAATTTAGTTTGTACCCTCTGGAACACACATTCATAATATATACTGACAATTTTACTGGGTAACGGGCACCACCCAGGTTTGAGGTGGGTGCCTTCCCACTAGAACTTGGTCCAAGTATTTTGTTTTTGAGACAGGGTCTTGCTCTGTTGCCTGGAGTGCAGTGGTAGGATCACAGCTTACCGTAACCCTGAACTCCTGGGCTCAAGGGATCCTCCTGCCTCAGCCTACCAAGTAGCTGGGACTACAGGCACACACTACTATACCCTGCTAAAGAGGTGGTCTCGTATGTTGCCCAGGCTGGTCTCAAATTCTTGGCCTCAACTGATACTTCTATCTTGGCCTTCTAAAGTGCTGGAATCACAGGTATGAGGCATCACACCCAGCCTTTTTTTTTTTTTTTTTTTTAATAACAGCTCTTTTTGAGATTTAGTCCACATACCAGGCAATCCAACCATTTCAAGTGTACAATTTGTCCAGGAACAGTGGCTCGTGTCTGTAATTCCAGCACTTTGGGAGGCCGAGGCAGGTGGATCATCAAGACCAGCCTGGTGAAACCCCATGTTGTCTCTACTAAAAAAATACAAAAATTAGCCGGGCATGGTGTCAGACACTTATAATTCCAGCTACCTGGGAGGCTGAGGCAGGAGAATCTCTTGAACCCGGGAGGTGGAAGTTCCAGTGAGCCAAGATCATGTGAGACTCCATCTAAAAAAAAAATAAATAGGCCGGGTGTGGTGGCTCGTGTCTGTCTGTAATCCTAATACTTTGGGAGGCTGAGGCA